TGAAATTGTGAATGGAGTGGGGGTAGGGCGGAGTCAAGGCTGGGGTAAGGTAGGTTAAGGGTGGAGTGAGGTGGGATATGTGTTTATTTATTATTATTTTTGAAGTAAAATTATATAAAAGAAAAGTGAAATTGAAATTGACAATGGTATAATAGTAATTCAGATCAAATATGTAAGAAAATGATACCATGGATCAACAATGCAATATTTAGGCTCAAAGGAGTGGCTCGTTACCCCCTTCACTACCACTCCCTACCCATATGCTAAACACCTACGCTAAAATTGGCTCGCTAGTTGCTTGACGAGAGGAAACAAAAGACGAGAGAAAGACATGTGGTCCCTATTTGATTATTTCAGCTTCAAATGTTTGTAACTCTAGCTTTAGCAACTTGTACCTTTTTTATAGTTTATTTTATTTAAATAGTTAAAAGAAAATTTATTTTGATATAAGAAAAAAATCTTTACCTTAAACACATCACCATTCCATATATTCATATTATACTTAGAAAGATGACAATATTTTAACACATGTTACCACATGCAACCATAGGAATTAGGATCAATGTTCTTTTTTTTTTGATCGAGTTTATAATATTTGATAAACTATATGGACCATTTATGTAATTTTGTCTTTATTATTTAAGACCTCTTAAACCCTCTCGCAGTTTTCTACTTCCGAGTTCATATCCTAATTTTGTGAAAGCAGCATCAGTTAATCTGTTTATATCCTGTTGATCTTTTCGTTCTGCTCCAGTAGCAGATCAAGCTTCCAAGGTATGTGATCTATGTATTCTGATTTTAGAACTATATAGATGGCTTGTTCAAATATTTTAAGACAATGAGTTCTAGTTTTTGTTCGAGGGTTAAATCGATGTGTTTTGATCCAGTTTGTTTCCCCCATGATCTGCGATGCCTATTTGCGCTTTGAGGTTGATTAGATAGAGATATACCACTTATAGATGTCTACTGTAGGTTTCAAACAAGATCGAGAAGAAACCAGAAGAAAAGCAAAAAGAAACATAACATGAACTTGAATCGTTAGTTACGAGATCGATGCAATCCGCTACATGTTCTCTTATGTCGCGATCAATCGGTTTGAATTGCTTTTAAGATCTAAATTAACGTCTTACAGGTTACAATCCATTTTCTGTTTCGTGATCTTCAATACCCCCCTTGAGTTTGAAGTCGATTTCGTTTTAATCTGTATTTGGTTTCTAGGTCGAACGTGTAAGTTTCTCTGCATCTTCTATGTAGAGATTTTGTTACTACTAATGGTCGCATAGCGAAGTGGATATCGCGTTAGATTCCGAATCTAAAGGTCGTGGGTTCGAATCCCACTGTGATCAGAACTTCTCTTTTTTGATTGTTTTGTTCATATTCCTATTCTGTTTGCTTTAAAATCAAAGTTTTCTACCAATTTCTTGTAACTGATGTTGTTTTTCATTTTTGCATCAAGAACTTGAAGTTGATTTGAGCTCAATACTGGAAAATATCAGTGTTTATACCATCATCTTTGACCGGAAAAGAAGATCGATTATAAATGTTAACTTTCTCATTTGGATGCAAAATGATTTCCTATGAAGCAAAACATGTTCATGCAAAATGTTTAAAGTAAAGATAAAATTGGAAGATAGCTTTATTTTATTTTATTTTGAAATGGCAAATAATTTAAATATCTCATTAGTCTGTGCACCTCTTAGTTAGTTGTTAGATTAGCAATCTCCTTACCAAGTGGAACAAGTGGAAGATAGCTTTAATAATATTAGATTATTGTTTAGGGTTAATGTCAAACCCAACAATCTTTTGTCTTTGGTTTTAAAAAGTCTTTTAAAGTTTTTTTTTTTTTTTTTTTTTTTTTTTTTTTTGTATCTTATAGACCATTGAAGTTAAGAAATATGTCACTTAAACCCTTTTGTAAATCTTAAAGGGTCATTCGATGTTATGTTTTTATGCTGATGTGAACTTTGATCATGAAACAGTCAAAGTTTTTGTAACGTGTACTTTGCCACGTGTGCCATCGCATTTAGAATCAAAATCTATTATTTGGATGTTCTTCAATAATCTCACATCCACCACCATCACAGACCAATTTCCACTACCACCGATTTAAACAACAAATGACTCATGAACATTGCTTTCAACCTAGAAAATAATGAACATCGACACTATGAACAACATGAACGCCAACAAAAATGATGAACATCAATAACATGAGCATCTAATACGAAATTAAATCAGAAAACGGTGAACATAAACAAATGAATTGTTGCAGATGAAAATCAATGCCATGGGCATCTACAAACCCACAAAAACAAAATACAATTATATTAGTATTATTTTATTTAATACGAAATATAATTTTATTAATAAGATTGATTATTTGATGACATGGAGAACATTGTAACCACCGCCACCAACCATTGTTCAACATCATCCCTCACCTTCAACAAAACTTAAAATTTGGGTTGCTAAATCGATTTGTACAAACCCAAAGAACCTTCTTTACAAAACGGAATAACAAGCAAATGAAGTTATGAAGAGGTTCAAACCTACAAAAAGTTCTTGCATTCCCAAAACGAAAAAACTCGTTTATCACTTTAAAGAGCAAATCAACAAAGAAACCTAGATTTTTTACAAATCCAAAAAAAAAAAAACACACACACACATAAAAATCCGTTAATCATCATCTTGAATGCGAAAATGAACAAAGAAAAAATCACAAATCAAAAACACAAAATCTAATCCGCATTTTAAATCCTCAAATTGAAGTATCGAAAACTAAACCCAAAATTTCAAGCCACATATCAATAAACAAACAGACAATCGAATCTATAAATCAATAACATAAATGTTGTAGTTTGAAGATACAAAATATGTGAAGAAATGAGGAAAATTCAGTAAACCTAGATTAGAAGAGTCCAAGTGTGGAAAATACTGAAATAGAGTTTCAGAATCGTTAAATGACAAGTAATGCGGAAAATAAAGAGTTATGAATCACCAAGTTAATGATAAAACATTTTTTATATGTTCAAGATCAATGATTCAAAAGTGTCTCATATTCATAAAGATTCACTACGAGTGTTTGATTGTAAAACACACTAAAACTCCAAGTGGCTCTCTAAAACTAGTCTAAACAACAATTGTGCCGAATAAGCAGGAATGAGCAGAATAATCAGAATTGAGTAAGGAAGAGTAACTTTATAATGGAGCCTAATGAGGCTATTTATAGGCTTTGGAAAAGCCCATGACATGGCTTGACCAATCAGGTGCTGACACGTCATCATGACTTAGTCATCACTTGATACATTTGCCCTACTTAATAGAGAAATGATGGAATATTCCAATTCCGTTAGTATTCTGTTAGGTTCCATCCAAGTTATGAGTCTTCATAATTCTTGAGCCTTCTTGATCAATATTGAAAATGCGATGAGCAACATGAGCACCATGTTGCTCAATTGTCTTCTAAGATGTCCTTAACTTCCAGAAGTGCCATTGATCAAGTTGAGTTGTTTATTGAATGTTGAATTGTGTCTTGAACTTGAAGATGTACAACCACATGTTCATGATAGATCATGGATGAACCGCATGTGCCTTTGAGCCTTTTAACGTGCCTTCATTGTACATGATGTGCCATGTGCAGTTTTGTTAAGCCATCAATGTGATCATGTTGATCCATTGACTTGAGTTGGGTCACCAAGTATTCATGTTGATCCATTAACTTCTTTTTGCTCCATATATGATCTAGATGTGCCATCCGAGATCATGATGATCCAAATTGCTTTCTCCAAGTGCTCCATGTTTAACAGGTGCTCCATGTCTGCTACAAGTGCTCCATGTCAACAACAAGTGTTCCATGCATACTTCATGTGCTCCAACATATGATACTTCAAACACCTGTTGAATCTTCAGGATCTTTCCAACCTGAAACATTCTAATAATGTTTATTAGAAAATGTAAATCAATATTCAACTTATTTCAAGTGACAATCACATAAAAATATTTCCAACAGTTCCCCCCCTATGTGATGGTTACTAAAATAAGGACTTGTAAAAAGTGTGTAAAATAAAAAAATATTGATTTAAGAGTTTCCCCCTCTACTTCAATGGAATTATTTGTTGAAGTAGACACAAAAAAAACTTTAAAAAAATAATTCAAGAGAATGTGTTCCTAGAACTTGAATGAGGTTGTAAAAAAATTGAACTGTCAAACTGACAATTGTAAAAAAAATTGGAATTAATGTTCGAATTGCACGATCTAGACAAAAATTTGTTTTGTCAAGATAGGAAAGTAAAGTAACAGATAAGAATAACTTGCAAACTCGTGTTACGTTTTATTTAGGCCTGAAGTTTGAAGAAAAATCTAAGTGTTGAATAAAAGTGAATGACTTGATCTTTTTCTACAAATTGAAAAATAAACAAAAAACTTTGATATTTTGTTAAATCATATCAACTAGTGTTATGATAAAACAAAGTTTTTAAGTTTTGACCTTAAAAGACTGTAACATATTAATTTTTTTTTTATCACAAATGATATTTTCAAAATAGGTTTTGAAAAAAAAAATCTATAGATATCTCTTGAATATCAGATAAACGCTTAAAACATGATAAAGATGTTAAAATTAAACTAAAATAGTGTTTGTTGAACCTTATCCGAAAGATAGCTATAAAAAAATAAAATAAAAATAAATAAGAAAATAAAAGGAAAAGAATATAAAAAAAAGGGATCGTGCATGTGTGAGAGTGTGTAACCAAAAAAAAATTGCATGGTTTCTTATCACCATCATTTGGATGTTTTTTTTGCGACACCCAAACAGTCACAAAAGCTTCATGCAAAGGTCACGAAAAAGGAATTGTCACAAAAAATGTGAATTCTACTTTCTTTCACAACACTTTGTTGGGTGTATGTATGATTAAGAAAGATCAAGAGAGAAAGTAACGTTGGTTTAAAATACTATTGATCTAGAAAATAGGTCTTGATCAAGGATTATTGAATACACACAAATGCCACACAACATTTTTGAAGACTTGTTTGTTCATAGCAAGGGTTCCTTTGTGTTTGGCTTCAATGCTCACTTCCACATAATGTTTTGTGACCAAGTGAAGCTGCATGCGAATGGTTTTGGTGAGAAGGGACACATTGTGTATGTATGTGTACAACATGATCAAGGCATCAAATAAACAATTTTTTCTCTTGTAATTTTAAATATCTCTATGACATTAGATCCTACAGATCGATAATGCACCGCCAGTGGATGCTTTAAAGTAGGCCCCAATGCAAGTTCTTCAAACATAAAACGATCCATGTGAATGTACATGGCTGAGTAAGGATGTATTTCCAACTTCCACGTCTGAGCAGAAGATGCGCCAGTGAGATGAACTAGAGCATGGATTGAAGACCAACCAAAAACTTGACAACAGATCTATCAAGATGTGATGGTCAATAGGTGGATGTTCACCATGCATGTGATCATGCGCACAGGATGTTTCACCGAGTGATGTTGCTCCAAGGAAAAAAACAACTCTAGAAAAAAAACGTGATGCTGAAAGATGGTGTATAAGATACACACATTTTTTTTATAGATCATGCATGCTCATTCGATATACATCATGTTCAAACACTACTAGAAAACAAAGAGTTTTGCCACAGGAAAATAACTAAGAAAAATTTCCGTAGGTAATTACCTACAAAATACCAACGGAATTCCTACAGAATGAGATGCCCTAAGTTAGTAACAGAATAACTACGGAATAATAACGGACGAACGTCCGTAGATATTCTGTTGCTAATTAGCTACAGAATAGCTACGATATAGCGACGAAAGTAAACATGTAGGTATTCCGTAGGTAATTAGCTACATAATAGCTACAGACTACTCACAGAAGAAAATAGCTACATAATAAATACGAAATACCAAAGACTTTATAATTTTATTATTATTATTATTATTATTATTATTATTATTATTATTATTATTATTATTATTATTATCATTATTATTATTATTATTATTCAAAATTCAAGTCTTAATTTTTTTTGATCGTTTTGTTTTAAATATTTAAAACATACAAAATTAAAAATCATACTAATAGTACTATTAATAATAATAATAATTATAAACATAATATAATATATAATAATCATAACGAATGTGTTTAACACACAAACAAATGAACAAACGAAAAAAACAACGTTAACACATCAATAATGTAAAATAATATACATTTAATGTATGAATAATGAAAAATGATGATAATTAGGGGAAATATGTATATTTGTATAAGTAAGTGTATGTATGTATTTATTTATGTATGTTTGTGAGTATATATATATATATATATATATATATATATTTATGTATATGTATGTGTGTATATGTGAGCTTATGGATATGTATGTGTGTATATATGTGTATGTGTGTATTTGAGTATGTATGGGCATGTGTATGCATGCGTGTATGTGTATCTATGCGTATGCATGGTTTATATACATTTATATGATGTATAACTTTGTGAAAACAAAACAATCAAAGTATAATGATGTTGTGAAAAAATGAAACGGAAAAAACAACATTAGACCCTTGAAAAATAGAAAATAAAAAAATCGTAGGTAATCCATAGGTAAATACATATGGATAACCTTTATCCGTAGGTATTTACCTACGGATTGCCTCCGCTTTTTTTTCTTTCTAATTTTTAAGGGAAAATATTGTTCTTTCAATTTCATTTTTTTTTCTAATTTTTAAGGGAAAATATTGTTTTTTCAATTTCATTTTTTTCACAATAATGTTATACTTTGATTTCTTTGTTTTCACAAACTTATACATAACATAAACTTACATGCAAATGTATGCATTGTTAGAACTCATTACTCATTTACAACTTTATTATTCTTTTTCATATAATATAAAGGAAAGTTATTTTCTTTACACAAATACAAATAAATACACATAATTACATACAACCCATATGTATGTATTATTGTGAGTATATCATGTATTTTTTTAATGAGGGTAATTGTTGCTCAAGAACAAACATAAATAACTTTTTGTATCCTATATAGTAATGAGTTATAATGATGCACATTCTTCTACATACGTTTATATGATGTATAATTTTGTGAAAACAAAACAATCAAAGTATAATGACGTTGTGAAAAAAATGAAACGAAAAAAACGATATTAGACCCTTGTAAAATATACAAAAACCGTAGGTAAATATTATTTACCTACGGATAACTTTTATCCGTATGTATTTACCTACGGATTGCCTACGTTTTTTTTTCTAATTTTTGAGGAAAAATATTGTTTTTTCAATTTCATTTTTTCACAACTTCATTATTCTCTGATTGTTTTTTTTTTTTTTAATTTTTTTTATGGATAACATAAACTTACATACAAAAGTATACATATACTAATAGTACTATTAATAAGAATAATAATTATAAACATAACGATAATATATAATAATTGTAACGAATGTGTTTAACACACAAACAAATGAACAAACGAAAAAAACAACAACGATTTAACACATCAATAAGGTAAAATAATATACATTTAATGTATGAATAATGACAAATGATGATAATTAGGGGAAATATGTATATTTGTATAAGTGTGTATGTATGTATTGATGTATGTATGTATGTATATATATTTATGGATGTGTATGTGTGTATATCACGCTTATGGATATGTATGTGTGTATATGTGTATGTATGTATTTGAGTATGTATGTGTATGTGTATGCGTATGCATGCGTGTATGTGTATCTATGCGTATGCACGGTTTTATGTATATTTATATGATGTATAACTTTGTGAAAACAAAGCAATCAAAGTATAATAATGTTGTGAAAAAAATAAAACGAAGAAAACGACATAAGATCCTTGAAAAAATAGAAAAAAAACCCGATAGGTAAATACCTACGAATTACCTATGGATAATCTTTATTCCGTAGGTATTTACCTACGGATTGACTACGGTTATGGATATGTATGTGTGTATTTGAGTATGTGTGTATGTGTATATACACAGTTTTATGTACTATATGGATGTATTATATACTGTTTTTTTCCAATTAATTAAAATATTTTAAAAAAAATAGAATATTTATACACTATATTAATTATATTGAAAAAAAAAAACATAGATGATAATTTTCAAATTATATTTAATTATAATATAATAGATCAATTTTTCAATTTGTTGGTACCTACAAAATTCCTACATTTCCGTATTCCTACAGAATTGCTACGCCTCCTAAAACCCAAATTCCCGCTTGAAGATTGCTCATCTATCAAACTTACCCAAACAAAACCCTTGTATACACCGGCGATTTCCGAAGCCTGCTGAAGCACACATCCGCCGGTGATTCTTGACTGATTTCAGGTAACCAATTAGACTTTTGTGATTTCCGAACTCTGATTTCAGCACACATCGGCGACTCACATTGACCAAAACGGTTGCAGGTTTGCCCTCTAACATCGCTGTCGCACACCACCGCCTACGCTGCCCCGTACCACCACCGTCGCTGCACCATATTACCACCGTCGCTGCCCCACACCACTATCAGCGACACCCCAGGTATGTATGTATGTCGATTTCAGTTGCTCACATTTCGCAAATTTTGCCACTGGAGAATCAATTTCAGTTTCTGTGATTTCAATTGTCTTTGTCAGCTATGCTTTCCATACTTGTAACTTGTCCATTGCAGTAGATTTCACAAATTTAGACCCAGAGAACTTGAATCATCAGTTTGCAGCAGTTCTGCAGCAATACTTGTAAATTGTCCATGTGCAGAGCTCAAGTTAAGCTCCAACTTAGATACCCTTTCCTCTTCTGAATTCTATGACCCTGTCCATATTTCTCTTCTGCGCGAGTTAGAACTCATCAAGATCTGTAATGGAAGTATTCACCTATTTGGGATGGAATTTTCCTGTTCTCAATTTGCTACTTAGCTTATCTAGATGTCATTCTTTCCCATCCGGTGTTACTTCTTCTGGATTTGGAATTTTACCCAAATGCAATCGTTGAAATTTTGCCTATTTGGATGATTTTACCCTTGATATTTAGCTTTGAAAATGTGTTACTTTTTCTGGACATGGTAATGTTTGCCTTAGTTTTGGAAGTGTTGGAGTTTGGTTTTAAAGAATATCAAAGGGATTGCTTTGCTAGACGATTATGCCTTTTGAAGTTGATTGCCTTAACTAGGGGTGTTCCCAGTCCGGTTTTTTCGGTTTTTGGGTCAAACCGAAGCCAAACCGTTAGTAACGGTTTTTGTCAATCAAAAACCGAAGCCAAACCATTGAAAAATAAAATCGAACCAAACCAAACGGTTACTCGGTTAGTAACGGTTTGGATCCGGTTTGGCTTCACGGTTTGGGACTTTTATTAGACTAATTTAGGAAAACAAAAATTAAAATCTGTCAAATTAAAGCTGTCAAAACAATTAAAAAAACTGCCAAAATGGACATAAAAGCTACCAAATAGTGTTCAATACATGCAACTTAATAAGCTGTCCAAAACAAGAAATAACAACATTAAATATTTTTATGATACATCAAACATTTTTCCAATTCTTGCAGCTTAAAAAGTGAAAACTAAAATGAAAAATGGAAACTTGGAACTGGAATGGAAATTTAGGAAGTATGGAGGCCATCAGGTGTGAATATGCCATTATTTGTGTTAATTAGGTTACTGCGCTTATTGAGTTATTGGATTGGACTATTGGACGCTTCACAATAGAATTGGGTTGGTAAGTTTTCATGTTTTGGTTTTAATTAATTTTTACTACTCATAATAAATATAAAAATTAATATACAATAAAACCATATATATATATATATATATATATATATATATATATATATATATATATATATATATATCGTATGCTCTGGTCCGGTTTTATACGGTTTGAAAAATGTGAAGCCGTAAACCAAACCGTCCACTATGGTTTCAAGCCATAAGCCAAACCGTAAAGAAAAACAGAAACCACGAAACCAAACCGATGCATCATATCTAACCTTCCTAGCCTCTAGAGTTGCTTAAATTCACAAGAAAGGATCTATGGACTCAAAAATGGACTTCTACAAAACCCTAGCTCAACTAACAAAAAGGATTAGCAAGATGTAAGGTTTTTACCTACAAATGCTCTCCAAGATACCCTAGATGCAAAATCCACAAGCTTTTCCCACGTTAAATTCCTGGACAACACCTTCTTCTTCTTGCAAATCCACTAAAATGGCCACCAAAATCACCTTTAGGCTCAAGACTCACACTCTCTTGCAAAGATAGGGTTTAAGGACAAAAAGAGGCTATGGAGGTTGTTTAGGATTTGGTCCAAATGATATAAGTGTGTTTAAATAGGGTCCATGCCATGAAATTAGGGTTTGGGTCATCAGCCTCGTACGCCCCAGGTACATGCTCGTACGCCCCGCGTAGGATCCCTAGCCACCCGATGCATGCACAAGCGTATGCTAAGCGTACACTTATGTACGCCCAACTTACAGAGGGTCCATAATTTCCATAAATAAAATACTTCAAGGGCATAAATGGAATTTTGAATGTTACAACGCTTCCCCACTTGAATTAGACTTCGTCCTCGAAGTCTTCCAACACAAATAGATCCGAGTAATGCTCTCTCATCTCGTCCTTTGGCTCCTAAGTCCATTCGGAGCCCTGCCGGTGCTGCCATTGCAACTTCACTAGCTTCACCACTTTATTACGAAGAGCTTCAGTTTTTTTATCCAGGACTACAATGGGCTTCTCAACATAGTTCAAGCTCTCATCCATTTGAATGTCATCCAACGAAATAACTGCGGTCTCATCTTGTATACACTTCCGCAGCTGAGACACATGGGAGGTGTTATGGATTTGATTGAGCTCATCAGGGAGGTCAAACCGATAAGCAACCTTTCCAATCGATGTAACAGAATTCCTAAATGGACCAATGAATCGGGGTCCCAACATATCCCTCTTCCGAAAGCGGATGACACCTTTCCAAGATGACACTCTTAGTAATACCAAGACTCCTACCTGAAACTCAATGTTCCAATCGGCATCGGTCTGCATAGCTTTTTTGACGACTTTGCGCGACTCGCAGATTGTCACACACTTGCTGAATCAACTTGGTGGTCTTAAGCACCACTTCGATGCTTCCTATGACCCGATGGCCAACCTCTCCCCAACAAACTAGAGTCCTACACCTCCTTCCATACAACATCTCGAATGGGGATCAGTCAATACTAGCATGATAACAGTTGTTGTAGGAAAACTCTACTAGTGGGAGGTAAGTATCCCAACTCCCTCCGAAGTCTTGGATGCATGCTCGAATCATATCCTTGAGTGTCTGGATCATCCGCTCGCTCTGTCCATCGGTATGGGGGTGATAATTTGTATTGAAGTGTAGTTGAGTGCCTAACTCCTCATGAAACTTCCTTCAAAACCTAGAGGGGAACCAAACATCGCGATACGTGACCACAGATACCGACACTCCATGCCTGACTACCACCTCCTGTACATAAGTATCCGCTAACTTCTCGGTGGATATACTCTCAAAAATCAGAATAAAGTGAGAACTCTTGGTTAGCATGTCTATAATAACTCAAATGGAGTCAACACCCCGCACCTTCCTAGGTAGCTTAATAATAAAGTCCATAGTTATCTCCTTCCATTTCCAAATGGGGATGGGCAGTGGCTGTACTTTGCCGTGAGGTCTTTGGTGCTCGGACTTGGCCTTCCTACAAGTCATACACCGCTCAATGAACCAAGAAACCTCCCGCTTCATGCTAGGCTAACAGTAACTCAATCTCAGATCCCGATACATCTTTGTGGCTCCCAGATGAATAGAAAAACTTGGACTTATGTGCTTTCTCCAAGCTCTTCCGCCTCACCCTACCATATGCCGGAACCCAAACCCTACCACACTGAGTCAAAAATCCCTGGATGTCTCTAGTAAACAACGAAATATGCCCTCTAATCTGCTTGGTCTTCCAATTCACATTTTCAATCCTTTTATTCTGGCCTCCTTAATCATATCTATCAATGGTGAGGTGACCGTCATCCTCAGACAAATATATCAGATCGGAGAGCACTCTGTGTTACGATTTAAAGCATCGGCTACCACATTGGCCTTCCTGGGATGGTACAAAATATCGTAGTCATAATCCTTCACCACATCTAACTGTAACGTTTGTAGATCCGGGCTAGTCAATTTAGAGATAATAGAGGTCGAAAACGACTTTTCGATAAAAGGTTATTTAGAAGAAATAATCTTAACCAAATTGTAGAATATGTCTCAAGGGTTTCGTACATATAAAGAGCGCCGAAATCCGAGTTATAACGAAGAAGTTATGACCAGTCGAAGTTTCGTGACGGAACCGACACGACACCGAGGAGACGTAAAGTAGTTAATTTATGAGAGAGCAACTTTCAGCCTTAGTGATCTAAATGAAATTCATAGAATATGTTAACTTGAGAGCGTCCATAAAAAGAACGCCCAAATCTGACTTCGTATGAGGAAGTTATGATTTTTCTAAGATTTGACTTAGCACTGCACGACCCGAAACTCGAATTTTAGTTCGAGAGGTTTTTGGCTTACGTGAAATAAATGAGAGTTGAAGATCTCATTAATAGGAACTCAACGGTAAAAATACAGAAGAAAACGGAGTCTGTATGAAGAAGTTACGATTTTTTCGCGGTCCTTTACCAGTCTAATCTTCCCGTACTGTTAAATTTAAGATCGGTCGAGAACTAGCCGACAGAGTCAAAATGAAAGTTGTAAATGTTATTTTTACCTACGCGTGTATATAAAGAACGCCAAAAACGGTGCTCGTATGTGAAAGTTACGAATTTTAGAAGTCGGAAGTGTGCTGCTGTGCGAAAATGGGTGACGTGGCACAATCTTGGTCATTGCTTTCTCCCCAAGTCTTGCCACCAGATGGTGACATGTGGCACCAAGTTCAGCCATATTTCACACTATAAATAGAACCTCTTCCACCCTCATTTTCTTCACACTTTTCCTATTCTTTATTCTCTTTACTCTCTCTCTCTCTCTCTCTCACTAGAACCTCTCTCTAGCCCCGAAACCCCCCGAAAAGCCTAGGGAACCTCCCTAGCACGAGGCAGAAGCCCCGGAGTGCTTGATGGCTACAAGAAGAAGAGCTTTTCGGCTCGGAAATGCTGCTCCAAGCAAAGCCCGATTTCTATAAAACCCATTATAAGTGAGCTACACCTACGCTATTTTTAATATAGCTTTTATTTAAGTATAGTAACGTTATTAGGAACTTATAATAAGTACTTGGGCTATTATTATGGGTTATATAAGTATTGTTTAACGCTTATATAATAGTAATAATAGCTAGACTATTAATTAGTTTCAGCGAATAATAGACTAAACTCTAGTGATAATAATATTAGGTTTCGTCGAAGGAAATTATTTTTAAGAAGCGAAGCGCTGTCTGAGTTTGGAATCAACACCTTTTCAAGTGAGTGCATAGTTACTTCCATCTTACACATAGATATGAAATATTTTATATAAATTACATGCTATGTATGCATATTATTTGAATACTTGGGGCGATGTAGTCATCTACCAGAGTATAGATGGCGATCACAGACTATTCTAAACAACCTCGTGGAAACACCAGCAGGACCATAACCTATAGGTGATGAATTACGAGTTCAGGCACGTATTGAGGGAGTAATCCCTGAATCAATACTGTCTATGCGATGTAGGTGATGATCCTTAGGGAGAGTCTTTAGGAACAAACATATAAGGAAATGCGATGTAAGGAGATGAGAGGTAAATATGATGTATGAGAAGATCCTTAGGATAAATCCTTAGGGAAGGTACTTAGGAATAAAGAAGATAATGGGGATGGGTAATTGGGCTAATTGTTTGATGATTAAACATAATAGTTATATTATTGTGGGTTGAAAACCCTATGTACTCACC